ACACACACTCTCTCTCTCTCAGCATCCTTACTTTCATGGTTTAAGTTTCTCTGCAGGTTTGGTTCTGTGGTTATTACCAGAAATATAACTAATATTATTCAATTTGATATGAAAATGATTATGATGATAATGGAGGAGAGAGACAGTTATGGATCTTAATGAAGATTTTTCATCAGAATTGTTAAAAGAGCCTTGCTTTAAGTGTGTCTAATGACATAACAACAACATGTTTAATTTCAACACCATCTAACGCAAAACAATCACTGTTGTCTCAGCGGGCTCAAAATCTGAGCCATATTCTTATCAAATGCTCTGCAGGTCACTCTGGCTTTGGTTGGTGTCACAGAACTGCAGTCACCAGCTACTGTGATAACAGCCGCCTTAGAGTGCAAGAGTTTCTGTGCAGAGCGTGAGAAAAAGTCTGAACTCCAGCACTCAGTACCCTCTGATGAACCCACGCACAGTCAGATACAGGACATGCTGACTCTCAATGGACCTTAGCTTTGGTAGATTAAAGATTATGACTGCACACAACATACAAACAGACACTTTATGCATATTCTTAATTTTCCTACCTGACCAAATTATCAAACTATTCATACTTAAGTTGGGAATTATAAGAGAAATACTTCAGTCTGTCAAGAAAATAAGGTGTTAAATGTTTGTTAATAGGTTTTTAAGAATATTAGCATTTTATCTGATTGCAATTTGTCTGTGAATGTGATGTCAGCAGTTATTCATCAAATGTTGGAGAAGAGCATTATAACCAGGCATATATCCAATCCAAATGCACCATGTAGTCAAGCACACTTTCAGCATTTTAAAGAGCTGATTCTTGTGTCTGAATCACAGTTTTGATGGAATGTTTTAGAGTCCCAGAAATGTATGTCGGATTGCGGTAGTTTGTTGCCAACAAGATGGGATTTAGAAGGTAGATTTGCAAACTTTATTCATATAAGATAAAAATATTTGATGTATTTACAGTATACAATACCAATCAAAAGTTGAAGGTCCCGTAAGGGCTGCAAGGAAGTTTTAAAGGGGTCATATGATGTTGCTAAAAAGAACATTATTTTGTGTATTTGGTGTAATGAAATGTGTTTATGCGGTTTAAGGTTAAAAAAACACATTATTTTCCACATACTGTACATTATTGTTTCAGGCATGACGAAGCGATATCGTCCTCTTTTGGAAGGTCAAACAAAGTAGTTTCGCTTTCACAACAAAACACACAGCGACTCCACAACATGGCAATGGCGGCAACAGCAAGTATTAAAGTTACGCCTTCTTTCTTTGCGTGAACGTTTGGGCGGCGTTATGCAAATCTTCTCACATCGTGACGTAGACATGTGGGGTGTGTTAGAACGAGCCGTTTTAGGTAGGCGTGGTTGACTCTTAACTTTTATAAAGAATATCTCTTTGGATTTGAGACTTTAGTCTTTGCAACTTTACAGATCTTCTTTATGCACCAAGAGCTTGTAACACTCCAAAGAGAAAGGAAAAATTGAAATCGCATCATATGACCCATTTAAACTGATCAAAAGTGACAGTTAAAGAAGTTGAAGTAAAAGTTTAAGACAGTTTAAGACATTTAAATTGTTACAGAAAAAAAGTATGGTTTACACAAACATATTAGGCAGCATAAGTGTTTTCAGCACTGCTGAAAATAATTTTTTTCTTGAGCACCAAATTAGAATATTAGAATGATTTCTGAAGAATTATGTGACACTGAAGACTGGGGTAAAGACTGTTGAAAATATTAAAACAGATAACATTTTCCTCTTCGCATATTCTTCAGTTTCACATTTTGAAATTGTTTATATTTTGTATATTTTTTCAGAGTGTGAAGATTCTGACCTACCTAGAGCCGCAGAATCAGGAGTACAAGGAGTTTGTCAATGTTCTAAAATTGGATGCCAAACAAATGTTCAACTTCACAGTGGAGGATTCTTTGGTAAGAGAGATCATTGTGAAGTTATTTATTGTTTTGTTTTCTTTTTTGGTTGTTGTATTATGCTTTTCTACCAAGACTCTACTGTGCTCTCCATCTTTTCTATCTTCCCTTGAAATTACTAGTTATTTCTATCTTGTTAGAAACTCTATGTGCCTCCATTACAGTCAGGGGTCTCTCCTGAAGAGCTTAAAGGGACACAAAATAATTTAAATGAATGTTTTTTCAGCCAAAATGCATTATGTGTGCTTACAGCTTTTTCTGTAATAGTCCTCTATTCACTATTCACTGCAGAAACAGGCTGCAGTGCACTTTTGCTTTCTTTCTTCAAAAATCGTAAAGGTTTAACGTAATTATATATATATCTATGTATGTGTGAGGCCCAGAATATGAAATTAATGTGACGTACACATGCACATTTCTGGACAAAGAGCTTTAAGCTGCACTGCATTCATGTATTTTAATGTAAGTAAAATATCATGTTTCTAGTTATGGAGCTAATGTGTATGATGCATTTGTCTGTTAATGTCTGTCCTGTTTATTGAATTTAAGAGAGTAGGGCACATATAATATGCATGTAAAGGGGTAATTTAGTTAAATTCAGGATCTTCATCTTTATTTCACCGTGCATCTCAAAACAAAGTGTATAAAAACACATTCACACAGAAACAGGAGAGAAAACAGGGCTTGTTGAGCCATTTCCTGGGGTGTTTAACATCGGGTGTGCTTCTGAGAGGACCTCTGTATGTTTATCACTGTTCTCTACCAGATGAACAAGCCATATGAGCACGTATGTCTTAATTTTTCGGAGGCTTTGTGGATTTTCCCCTCAGTGTGGATTCTAATTGAGACACCTAAGTCTGAGATCATCTTAAAGTGTTTTTCTGGGTCCCAGCTCAAATTTGGAAAGTAACAGGAAGCGAAATATGAAAAGAAATACTCTTTTCCAGTGACTGTGCCTTGCAAAAAAGCAAGTCTCTCATCAGCTCTGTTCATTTGCATGTAAATGGATCTCTGCGAGGGTAAAATGGCCAGAATGGATCGGGACAAAAGATTAAGAGATGAAGCACTTTTCCCAGTGCCTCACGCAGTCTGACTTTCATTTTTCATTTATGACAAATGTTTGATTAAGGATTCAGATCAGATCAGGTATATTTAGAAAATCAACAGAACAATAACATGTTCCAAGTAGGATGTGTGTCGAGAAAATCAATCTAACACATCCATCAGTACCAGCATGATGGACTTTGGATGCTGAACACTGATTTGTAATGCTGGTGAAACCATGCCACATAGGAACTTAGGTTTTATGTACATTGAAAATGAAATTAAATTAGTTGTTTTACAACCTATGAGGAGGCTCGTAGTGATGAAGTAGTTCGTCTTTGTATTCACTTATGTATTTAATTCTTTCAGATGAACATCATCTCAGGTGGTTTCTATGATGGTCTGATGTTGTACTGCAATGCTCTAAATGAGAGTCTCGCAGAAGCACATGATCGACCTTCAGGAGAGTCTGTCACAAAGAGAATGTGGAACCGGACTTATTATGGTGAGCACATGATCTAACTGAAACCCCAAATCCAGAACCTGAGCTCAGGATTCATCTTTCATAGAAAATAAACTAGTTCAATTTAGTGCTGATAATGTTTTATGTGATGCTGATTTTTTTAAAATAAGGTTTAAGAAGCTCTCAAATCAACATGGGACTGTCTCGATTAATGTGTATCACTGGTTCAGGACTGGGGTTAAAATTTATCCCTGGACAAATCAAGCCCATCCGGCCCACAAATTCCCCCTTGAATGTTTTGATGTGTCAATTGGAGTAAAGTGAAGTGACGTGTGGCCAAGTATGGTGTCCCATACTTGGAATTTGTACTCTGCATTTAACCCATCCAAGTGCACACACACACCGTGAACACACACCCGGCGCAGTGGGCAGCCATATTGCTGCGGCACCCGGGGAGCAGTTGGGGGTTCGGTGCCTTGCTCAAGAGTCTCACCTCAGTCGTAGTATTGAAGGTGGAAGAGAGAGCTGTACGTTCACTCCACCCACCTACAATCCCTGCCGGGACCGAGACTCGAACCCGCAACCTTCGGGTTACAAGGCCCTGTCCCAAATGGAACACTTTGTGTGCACTTGCGGTCTTACGGACTTACAATGGCCGCCGCGTGCGCGTGTCCGTTAAGGCCACGAGACCGTAGGGTGTCCCATTTGTTATTTTAGTGTTCAGAAGGGTGCTCGCGAGCGCCCTCTTTGCGGCCGTTATGCGCCCTCGATCTGCACTTCTGTCGAACCCGCACTGGTGCGAGCTCCGCAGCAGACTTCTACCCGCCAGTCAAAGCGGCATTACGTCACGAAATGCGGACTCAGAGGAAGACTGCAAGGGTTTAGGGTGCCATTTGGGACAGGGCCCAAATCTGACTCTCTAACCATTAGGCCACGACTGCCCCAAATAAATGAATAGAAATAAAGGACTGTAAATAAATTAATACATAAAACAGGACAGAAACTAATACTGATAGATATTACTGAATTCACGACAAATGCAATAAACTTAATAATGTATTTTCGTCACATATAAAAGCACTTGACGGTAAAGCATTGATTTTGAGCTAGACTGCTGGAAAGTTACTGCTAATAAATTCTGTCATCATTTCCTTGCCCTCATGTCATTCCAAACGACTTTCTTCTGTTGAACACAAAAGAAGATTTTGTAGAATGTCACCAAACCCTTTTGGTTACCCTTGATTTCTACTGTATGGACAAAAATTTCTTGAATGAAAGAAATTCATAAAGGTTTGGAATGGCATGATGTTGAGTAAATGATGACAATTTTCATTTTGGGTGAAAAGTTTAGCTGACTACTATTAGTAGGATGGTGGTCACAAGAAGTAAAACCATGGTCCTCATTACCATGGTTATATGGTTTTTAAATAAATAATAAGTAATGATAAACTATAAAATTTGTGGTAAAAAAAAAAAACTAAACACCAAGAAACTACAAAACACCTTCTATGAAATTAAAATATTCCCCAATATGTAATAACAGTAACATTTATAATAAATACATTTCTGCCAACACATAGGCTATTCAAGTTAAGTTACTATGGTGCTGAATTGACAAGCCTAATGGCATTTTCCAATAGCCTATACCTCATTGTCGTGGCTGTTTTCAGTCAGCATCACTATAGAACCTTTAAAGGGGTGGTTCACTGGTTTTTTTCTAGGCTTGATTGTGTTTATGGGGTGCAGTCTAACGTGTTAATGCTTCGTTTAAAAAAAAAGCATTATTTTTCACATAATTTACCTTTATTCC